AAAGGAAGAGGGCAAAGAGATGGGAAGAGGGAGGAAGGCTCTCCCACTACCACCACCCCTGCGGATCCCTCACTTACTGCAATCAAGGTCTTCCCCAGGCTGCACACTCCAGCGTGGGACCGGGAAGGTTGGCGACGGGCCTCCTCAGGCCTCCCATGGGCTGCAGCACTCCAGCATGAGCCCCAGGAGGCCAGCGACGGGCCTCCTCAGGCCTCCCACAGGCTACAGTGTTTTGGCGTAGGGAGCTGGGGGCAGGGCTTGCTGCAGCCGCCATTTGTGCCAGCTCCTGGGCTGCCGAAGTGGTGCTCCGGCGCGCTCCGGCCCCAAGTGACCCCTGAAGGATCTGACAGTTTCCTTGTTTTTAAAGCCCACCAGGTCTTGCCAGCTCAGTTTGTTTGAGCACAGGCTATGGAGGTCTTGGAAGAGAGAGGCCGCCTCCCGTCAACCAGACGGCAATGGCATTTGCCGCCTCTGCAGCTCTTTGCGGAACTGGTTGCCTTCAGAGACATTGGTGCAGCATAGGATCTTCTATATCCCACATTAGACCAACTTTTAGAGACCCTTGATGATTTTAAGGTCCTTTTCTTGCTTGATAATCTGGATACAAAAATAACTGAAATAGTAGCAACGTTTCTTTGCAGTGCCATGGTCACATGGCCTGATAAGCAATACTATGAATTAGGTTTTATTATGATGTGACTCTTTTTACCATGTTACTCTGCAATTCTAATTTTACTCTGCGCGGATTTTGTATTTAGATTATTGTATCATCATGTATATGCCAATAAAGGCTTGTCTGTCTGTCATGGTGGCAGTGTGCCTGAGCTCTGAAGTCCCCGGTTCAAATCCTGCTTCTGCCATGATTCCCTGGGCAGCCTTAAGTCTTCCTCTGTTCACCGTCTCCCATCGGCAGTATGAGAATAGCAATACTGAACTTCCTTACAGGGTTGTTGTAAAACGGTTGAGATGCCTGAACGGCTTTGAAATGTTCTGATGTGTCAGTTGGCTACTAATTATAGTTCCTACGATTGGGAAACGGCAGAAGGAATGTCCCCTTTGTTGCTTGCGCCACTCTTCTTTTTAAAAAGTGCTGCTGTGCTCTTCCACAGCTCTCGTGCATTCCAAAGGTATGGGTTGTGCCCTGCAACTTACGTGTATTAATTTGTCTTGAGTACACAATGCTCAATTATTTTGGGGCTGTGTTTTGCGTTGATCTCCTTTGGCTATGGAGCTGCGGTGGCTCAAGTGGTTAAGACGCTGAACTGCAGGCTGTGGAAGGTCAGTAGTTCAGCAGTTCGAGACCCGGGTGCTGCAAGACGGAGTGAGCTCCCTTCTCTAGTTCCAGCTCCTGCCAACCTAGCAGTTCGAAAGCAAGAAATTGCAAGTCAATAAATAGGTACCACTTCGGTGGGAAGGTAACAGTGTTCCGTGCGCCTTGGTGTTTAGTCATGCCGGCCACATGACCATGAAAATGTCTTCGGACAGCGCTGGCTCTTCGGCTTTCAAACAGAGATGAGCACCGCAACCCTAGAGTCGGATTCGACTGGCTTTCGAGCAAGGGAGACCTTTACCTTTACCTTACCTTTGGCTATGAAGATGGCCAGCTCCGCATTTGGTTCTCTTCTTCCAGAGTGGCCATCGGGATTAGTTTCATGCCAGAGATGTTTAAATCGGAAGTGTTTTTTGCAGATAGCTTTTTCATAATGCTCTCTCTCTCTCTCTCTCTTTCTGTTTCCAGCGGGTGCCAAAGCCTTTGTCTGTGATCACTGTGGTGCACAGTTCTCTAAAGAAGATGCCCTGGAGAGTCACAGGCAAACACACACCGGTAAGTTTTGGTTGCTTCCTTCCCCACCTCCTCTCCTGAAATGATAGCAGCACTGCAGTGTCATCCCAGGTTTTCTGGAAAGGCCTGGTTGTTAGGGAGATGGTTCCTCTTTGCACTGACTCTGCGCTTGCCCTTGCGTCCCATCCACTGGCTCGGCGTCGGTCTCCGAGGTCCAGGTGCAGGGCGAGTGAGAGAAGCAAAGCCCACTGCTCCAGAATCTTCTTCTGGCCTTCCGCACGGGGCCTGAGTTTGCCCAGGAGTTGAGCAGGAAGCTCTAGCTAGATGATGGGAAACAAATTGTGGGGTGGAATGAGCTGTGGCACAGAGGCGTCTTCTGGCGCAGAGATGTCCTCTACCGCACCGAGCACCAGTTAGCATCGGCTGCAAAAGTTTAGATTCAGGTGGGGTCGCTATGTCGGTCTGAAGCAGCAGAACAGAGTTTGATTGCGGTGGCTCCTTTAAGACCCACAAAGTTTGATTCAAGGTGTGAGTTTTCATGTGCACACACACTTCTTCCGAT